GGTCTCTCTCTGATCACTCTCTCTGGTCACTCTCTGGTCTCTCTCTGGTCTCTCTCTCTCTGGTCTCTCTCTGATCACTAGGGATGCACGTTTTCCAAAATTTCCTTAACCGTTAGTTGCACCTCGTGGCGGTAATTAATCGATTAACCGTTGCCCACCCAGAAAAAAGTGAAAGAGCATGCGCGTTCCTTTTTTTATTTTTATTTGTGCAATTATCAGAAAACAACTGCAAAACACGCCAATCATATAGCTTATTATTTTAAACAACGCTAAGATAGGCTAACAATTTTAAAGTTCAAACATAGGGCTACAGCGTATTTTAACGTCACAACAAACCCAAAAACTTAGTTTTTATTCATGAAAATAAGCATGTCTACGTGTTCAGGGCTTAACCGTGTGCGCAGTCTATTTACGGTCAATCCAGCTGTTGAAAAGACCCTTTCTGATGGAACTGATGTGCCAGGAATGGCTAAATACTTCTGGCAAGCTTAGCGACTCTGGGGAAACGCGTTGCGTTGGTTTTCCACCAGTGCACTGGGTTTACTTCAAGGCTGATTGGGTTTTCTGTAAGAAAGTTTTTTACTTCTATTTCCGAAGTATTTATTGCGTTACAGAAATATGCGTTTCCAAGCAATAATGCCATTGCTGTCGCTGTGTTGTCCTCGGGCCTTGAGGATGCGCTGTCCCGAGGCCTTGACGCGCTTTCCTGCCCCTCTTCTCCGTTGTCTCCATCAGCTACCAGTTCTCCCTCACCATCTTCCATGCACGGGATTTTTGCTGCCAGATCGCACAGTATTTGATTGGCCAATGTTTTTTTATCAGCGGACAAGAAACTCAGATGCTTGTGGCGTGGGTCCAACATTGACGCGATGAATGCAGGCGATGATAGCGTTTCTCCGTTGTCAATCTACGCACGTAAATTAATTATATTTAATTTTTCATCAGCATGGACATTATGATTAAATTGTGTTAATGTTGTGCGTATTACATACCTTCATTCTTGTGGCCAGCGAGGTCCGGACTTTAGCTTTGAATTCCATTACGTGACGGGTGTCATTTTCTTTTTCTTGCAAGTGTCCATTGATAAGTCCGAATGTTATAGGATACGTGTTTGAAATAGAAACCTCACGTTCAGCAGACATAACTGTAGTCGCGCACTTGAGTGCCCTGAGGGTTGGCATTGTATCTTCCATGAGCTGCCAGTGTTCGTCTTTTAGCTCCAAATGCCTTGCGTCTTGCAGTTTGGTTACAGATCTATCAGAGAGCACCGCGGTTATGGCCCAGCGCTGTTCCAACAAGCGCTCGAACATCTCTGCGACGCTGTTCCAACGCGTCTTACAGGACTGAATAAGTTTGTGAATTGGAAGCTTCATTTGGTCTTGTTTCCTTTCGAGCGCTTTGGACGCCACTGTGCTGTGGTTAAAATGACCCACAAGCTTTGCAGCTGCTGAGATGACACGATACAAATGTAAAGAAAAACCATCATTTATTGCAAGTTGAAGGGTGTGGGCAACGCATGGAACAGACTCCCATTCAGCGTCCCTGTTGGCGGCAACAATGTTTTTTGCATTGTCGTGTACACAAGCAGTCACACGGCCCGTGAGCCCCCACTTTTCAATAGACTTTTATCTTTTCTGCAAGATTTTCAGCTGTATGGCGGGCAGACATCGATTCAGTTAAAAGCACAAATGATTTTAATTCCCAGTCCGAGTCGATTAAATGGCTAGTGATTGTTAGATAACTTTCCGTGTTCAGTGCAGTCCAACAATCCGTAGTAATAGCGATCCATTCCGCTGTCTGTACCAAGTCCTTCACGGTTTTTTTTTTATCCTCGTATCTTCTTTCAATGCGTCTTGTGACTGCAGAGCGTGATAGGACTTTGTATCGGGGTTGAGTTAAAGCCATCAACTCACGAAATCCAGCGCCTTCCACCATGCTTATTGGCATCATGTCCTTCTCAATCATTCGGCAAATACCTTGAGTTATTGATTCGGCTTTTTCGTCATTGCACCTGTTCTGAGCAAGCATTGTGTTGATTGTAGGCTGGGTCGAGGCCATGGTCGATGCACTGCCACTCGCGCAAGACACAGTCGGGTGGTGGCTATTTATGTGGTATAAGAGCGAGCTGGTACTTGATGCATATTTAAGTAAAGCATCACAATACTTGCATTTTGCCGTAACCTTATCCTTTTGTAGGATAAAATGCTCCCACGCTGTACTTTTTCTCCGCTTCATCATGCATGAACATGTGCTATTGCTGCTTCTGTTGTTTTGACCTATGCGTTCAATTGTTGTGTGGCACTTGTCTGGCCTCTAGTGGCGCAAACATGTAAACGCAGTTATTTGGTCAATGTGCGCATACTCGGTCACGTGCTTAATTGCAGTTAATCGATTAATCGGTTAACTATGAACACCCCTACTGATCACTCTCTCTGGTCACTCTCTCTGGTCACTCTCTGGTCTCTCTCTGGTTTAAATCTATATTCCATAACATAATAATATATACTAAATAGATACAGTAAAGACATTTTAATTTGTGCAAAGCAGACCTCTCCAACTCCGACCGTTTTCGCTCATTCTTCCCGACACAAACTTGTCTTTTATAACATTGTTTTAGTTCAACATGTAGATTTCAAACTCACAAAAGCATCATGTCCTCTCTTTCTTCTCATTGACATCTGTGTGGAAGTGTGTTTTTCTCTCTGGCCTGGAGCATATTATCACATTGGAATTATTAAGTCTGCACATGGGCTGTCACCGTGAGTGGTTTTTGTATTAATAATAAAAGGATTGCATGTTTGTCTTATGGCGCATTATATAGAAATCCACCATTATGTAAGAGTTCAGACTGAGGTTCAGCTGCTGCACACCAGGAACGCCCCGAGAAGTACTACAACTACTCTACTTTACTCGATCCTACTCTACTCTACTCTACTTGGCCCTACTCTACTCTACTTGACCCTTCTCTACTCTTCTCTGCTCTATTTTGCTCTACTCTACTTTACTGTACTCTGCCCCACTCTACTCTACTTTACTCTACTCTACTTGGCCCTACTCTACTCTACTCTACTTTGCTCTACTCTACTTTACTCTACTCTACTTGGCCCTACTCTACTCTGCTCTACTTTGCTCTACTCAACTTTACTCTACTCTGTCCCACTCTACTCTACTCTACTCTACTCTACTCTACTCTACTTGGCCCCACTGTACTCTTCTTCCACTACTCTACTTGGCCCTACTCTACTCTACTCTTCTTCCACTACTCTACTTGGCCCTACTCTACTCTACTCTACTCTTCTTCCACTACTCTTGGCCCTACTCTACTCTACTACGCTCTATTTTGCTCTACTCTGCCCCACTCTACTTTGCTCTACTCTACTTTACTTTACTCTGCCCCACTCTACTCTACTTAGCCCTACTCTACTCTGCTCTACTCTACTCAACTCTACTTGGCCCTACTCTACTCTTCTTTACTCTACTCTACTCTGCTCTACTTTTATCTACTCTACTTTACTGTACTCTGCCCCACTCTACTCTACTCTCCTCTCCTTGGCCCTACTCTGCTTTACTCAGCTCTACTCTACTCTACTCTACTGCATTCTACTCTACTCGGCCATACTCTGCTCTACTTTGCTCTGCTCTGGACTCCTCTACCCTACCCTACCCAACCCTACCCTACCCTACCCTGCTCGGCCGAGTAGAAACTCAAAGCTCAAAGACTGTTTCTTGTCACGTGTCCCCTTTAGTTTCTGTTCCCAGACTAAACCCGCGGCGCACTGAGGACATTTGTAAAGCTTTAGTATAAACTTCCGTCTGTTATCTGCTTTGTGATGCTGATTTTCCTGTATACTGGGCTCAAACTCCATCCAAAGGTTTCAGAGATAAGACAATATAAACAAATAATGTGTCATTTGAGGTTGTGGAAGTCTATGAAACGGACAATACTGATTGCGTGTCCATTATATCTGCTTTTGGTTTCTGTAAAATAGACTTTAAAACTGCTGGTCACAAACTCCATCTAGTCTGTCAGAGTTTAAGTTGTTTTGTAAAGATGAATGGGCAAAGTCTCTCTCGATGTGCAAAGCTTGTAGTCATACCATAGAGTGTATAAAGTGTGTAACCTCGTTAGCTCAATGAAGCCCAATAAGGAAATGCTCATTGGCGAAGTTTAGCTCCATCTCTCTCTCTCTGGCTCCTATGTAAAAGTATACTCTCCAGCTCAGAAACCGTTTGTGTCACACTCACCATTTTGGTTTAAAGAAATCCTTAGTGCTCTCTGTGATCCTGGTGTGTATATTGTGGCATCATTGTCTTTGTAAATCCAGATATGAGCCATATAAGGATTGACCAATCAGATGCCTTCTTTCTGCTCTTGTTATGGCACAAAGCATACATAGTCGGAACCTTTCTACTGTTCACATAAACATATCCGGAAGCAGGAATGTTTACCACAATGTATGTGTACCACAAGCTCTAGAGATTGACAGCTGATAGTTCTGTGTCCAAACACTTCCAGCACCCTAGGGGGCGCTCAAGCAATCAAAATATATACACTGACTTCCTCACTATAGAGACTAGAAGTACTGCAAATGTATTTACTGTATCATAGTTCATTGTAGCAGAAGGGAGATTATCAGAATGTTGTGAGGTTATTGACTTGCCATTATTTTTGTTTAGTGTAGGGCTGGTGGAAACGGATCTCCTAATCTTACTTTGTAGATGGCTGTTTGTGGTTTCAAATGAAAGCTCAGGTTCCTAACTTTCAGACCACAATGTTATGTTCCAGTTGTCATTTATTGAATCTGTTCTGTGGTTATCATCTCTTGCTATTATTTTGCAATGTTTCTCTTGGACATATTTTATGAATGAAATGTATAGATGAAAGTATAATTGTGAGGGTGTAAGAGTTGAAAAGTCCCAGATGTCGACGGTCTGACAGTGTGTTTATGTTTCTGTGACAAAAGATTATTTTTAACACGGTTTTTTCTGGTTTCCTGCAGGAGCGGGAGAGTCCGGCAAAAGCACCATCGTGAAGCAGATGAAGTAAGTGCTGCTTTTGTTCTGTTCAATAATAAATGTAACAAGGGACAGGAAGTGTGTCTAAACTACAGACCACAGACCCAAGACAGGGATGGAGCCCAATTGTTCAACACTAGAACTCCCAGAGCCGTCATTTTGACTCCCATTCAAGCCAAAGGGATTCTGAGCTATTCTCCCCAATAAATGTTTTTATTTTATTTTTATTTTTTTACCTTTGCTTATCTTTTCTTGATGATAAAACTGGTGAATAAAGCTCTAATCACAGCAAAAACAGTTGGTTGAAAGGCTAATTCTAAAGACCAAATGCTTATTAATGCAAGTAAACAGTATATTGCTATGGAAACTAGCACTCGATCTTCTCTTGGTCTTGGACTGGTTCTCTTGAAAATCCTAGAGAATCAAATTGTCTGCTCTGGGGGTTCTAGTGTTGTGCTGTGTTCTCCTCATGCTCCTTCACTTTTTATGTTTTGACCATAGATCAGGCTAACACGATGAATTTGAATTCATAAGCGAGCTGGAGCCAATTTCCTTTTATGGATATTTCTTCCGCAGTTAGCTTTTTGCCGTAACGGGGGCAGATGTGTTGCTAAGACAGTTGCTAAGGCAAGCTGAAGTTTCCCCTGAGAATGAAGGCATCTGATTGGTCAATCTTTATATGGCTCATATCTGGATTTACAAAGACAATATCACAGTATATACCCCAGGATCACAGAGAGCACTTAGCAGTCCTTAGCTACACCTGCATGGAAAACCAGTGGGATTAAAATGAGAAGCCTTAAAGAGGCCCACATTGCTCTCCAGACGGGGCCTGTCTGAGCAGAGTTTGCATGTTCTCCCTGTGTCTGCATAGGTATCCTTCAGGTGGTCTGTTTTCCCCTTCCACTAAAAACATGTGCAATGGCTCCCCTCTCTCGGGACGTTTAATTACTGCTCAACTACTTTTTTGGTCTTTGTGGCTTTTACTGTTTCTATAGTTTTATTTCTGTCTCGTTATCTAGTCGTTAAAACAGGAAAAGAGCAACTACTTGCAGAAGTTAGCATTTTATAGCCTTTCAACAAACCGGTTTTGCTTTTTAAGTCATATTCACCAGCACGTAGCACTTTATTTGATAGTGACTAAATGTAAAAAAAGAAAAAAAAATACGAATCCCAAAAGTTACTGTTAATAAAACTAACTTTTTGGATTCTTTTCAGAATTCCATTGATTTGAATGATGTTGGAGCAGTCAAAATGATGGCTCTGGGAGTTCTAGTGTTAAACAAGAGCCTTTCTATTAAGACAAACCACATGTATTAAAGAGGCCAAAACAAGTTAGACTTTTAACAGTTGTGTTTTCAAAGTTGTTCAGTCATTGAATCAAACCAAGCTTTAAGACCAATAGTTTCTCTGAGACTATGAGCAGAATCTCGTCTCTTTGGTGAAAAGCTCGTTGGCGCTTGTGTCTCTGAGTGTGTCGCTGTGCAGTGCGCCGTGTGCTGCGCTGACTCTTAATGAGGTCCTTTTGTGAACCTTTTGCGGCCTCAGCCAATGGGCTCTCTCTCCGGTCTCTCTCCGGTCTCTCTCTGGTCTCTCTGGTCTTTCTCTGGCCTCTCTCGGGTCTCTCTTTGGTCTCTCTCTCTGTTCTCCCTCTGGTCTCTTTCTGATCTCTCGCTCTGTTCTCTCTCTAGTCTCACTCTGGTCTCTCACACACGACCAGGCCGCGGCCACAGCCAATGGGACGTCCCGTGTGTGTGGGCCCAGACCAGAGCGACGCCTCTGAACCAGCTGCATCCATCTCAATCTAACGACCGTTCATCGTTCCGTCCCGCGTCGCTGTGCCCTGTTTGCAAATATCCTTGACCCAGTTTTTCTCAAACTTGCTGTAGACGGTGATGTCATTGCAATTTTAGTTGCTTTTCTTTGATCTATTTTCAAGTCAACTTTTTTCTTTAGGATAGAGCAAAAAACAATGGTTATTGACTAATAAAATGAATTATACATTTTAGATGCACTATTATGTGTTTTCATGTGTATTTACTGCTTCATAGCATAGACTGTATACAGATGGACAATGGAAACAAAGTGCTCATGGATGAAGTTTTGCTCCAACTCGCTCTGGCTCCGATTGACTTACATGTAAACGTAAACTTTACTCTAGCTCAGTAACCGTTTGCGTCACACTCACCCTTTTGGTTAACATTAATCTGTGGTTTAATGCTCTCTGTGATTCTGGTGTGTATACTCTGATATCATCTTTGCAAATTCAGATTTTAGCCATATAAAGATTGGCCAATCAGATGCCTTGATTCGCGCGGAACTTGCCTTAGCAATATTGCGAAGCAAACGCCGTCATAACAAATACCTCCAGCTAGCTTATGTTCAAACCTGCTTCTTCTACATCCTCTTTTCTTCTACAGGATTAAAACACTACGGTGATGTCACACTCAGTCAGCCCACTCCTCATGTACAGTCTATGCTATATATATATATATATATATGATATATAGTCATGAAGCCAATTTATACTGATTTAGGGTTATTTTTCTGTGGTTTTGTATGCAAGAACAAATTTGGTCCCTAAAATAGGCTTTATTAAGTGGGTTGGATATCTATAAACTACTTATTTTTTACCATACAAGACCAACTGTACTTGCCAAGTGCTGTACACAAATCGAAACATAAGATGGACAATTTAAACTAACAAATGAAGACTTCTCAGCTCAGTCGGTCCTAAAATCCAGTGAAAATGCAATGTTTTTAAGGTCATCTAAAGTAAAGTTGTAGTTGCAGCCTGACTGGTGTGGAGTCTCATTTGCATTATCAGTTCAAATTCGATCTATTTGGTTTGAGCCTAAAATGCACTAAGTCCCAGCAGTAATAATCACCCCTGACACATGGGAAACATTTATACTCTGGAATTAGAAAAGTTTATATCTTTGCTTGTTTTTGCTTTTCCTTTTTCCTTTTTACAGCATAATTTTCAAGTGCTGCATGTCTACTTCACAACATCATATAACCTCTAATATAAAGTCTCACTGGTTTCTCTCTCTCTGGCCTTTTTAGTCTCTCTCTGGTGTCTCTTTGGTCTCTCTCTCTCTCTCTCTCTCTCTCTCTGGTGTCTCTCTGTTCTCTGTCTGGTCTCTCTCTCTCTGGTCTCTCTCTTTCTGGTCTATCTCTGGTCCATCTCTGGTCTCTTTGTCTCTGGACTCTCTCTGGTCTCTTCTTGTAGCCCTCAGTCCTGCTCTTACCCCTCTGCAGCTGTATTTTACAGTCTATGCACAGCTTTTGACAGCTGCAGCAGCACTCAGACCTACAACAAGTTTGATATCTCTGGTCTCTCTCTGGTCTCTGTCTCTTCAGCAGTCGTGAGTTCAGGTGGTTAGAAAAGATTATAAAGTCTGTGTGAGGGTTTTCACTGCTGCTACTTCAAGTATATCATACTTATTGTGGGTTAGTTTTAGAAGGCAAGGCAAGTTTATTTGTATAAACTGTACAATTCATACACAAGGTAACTCAAAGTGCTGAACAAATCACCCCCTCAATAAACAGTACACAGAAACATCATTGTTGTTTTTGTGCAGGATCATCCACGAGGACGGGTACTCAGAGGAGGAGTGTAAACAGTACAAGGCTGTGGTCTTCAGTAACACCATCCAGTCCATCGTCACCATCCTCAAAGCCATGGACCACCTCAAGATCGACTACGAGGACCCAGCCAGAGCGGTGCGTAGGCAACTCCCAGAGCAGTCAATGTGACTGCTTTGAGTTTTGGAAGCATAGTTACTAATGTACATTTTTGGGTTTCAAACTTGTCACTTTTTCTGTTTCTATATATAGTTTTTTTGATGCAATTACTTTCACAAAATTATCTTTTATTTGTGAAATGTGATTAGCTGTACCTTTAATTCCCATTGCAGTAATTTTGTTTAATGTAAATCTCAGATGCAGATCTGTCGTTTGGAAACCCACATTCTATGGCAGTTAAAGCCCATTTCCTCCAATTCCCACACATAATTGTTCATCATCTTAAGAGGTGATGATTCAGTTTATTATTATTAATTACAATATTAATAAAGCTTTGGCTTTCTATAACGAGACTTAGGACCATATTTTAGATGCTCCACAGAAGCCCTCTTGACAAGAAGTGGTAACCACTCTGCCATTCTGCTCTTGTGTGATGTGGAGTTTAGTTCACAAACACAGTGTGTAACAGAACAGCAGGATCCAGGAGCTCGGGAGGCACGGAATCCACTGCACTGTCACTTTTCATTACACTGATGAATATTACTACTACTGCTGCTGCCGCTGCTGCTGCTAAACACACAACTATTCACAAATCAGCACGACCCAGCCCTGCCGACCCAACGTCTGCTCATTCAAATAATGGCCTGTGCTCATTGGCGTCTGCTTGCACCTTGGACGCCAAAACATTAGCGTGACGCATATTTGCCTCTGGTCTTGGTCTTGCTTACTTCCGTAGGCCAAACCAACGCTAACATCTGAGAATTCCGTCCAATCAGAGCTGACTGTAGAGGGCAGCACTGAGCCGCAGGGTGCACAGTCTGCTGTAAGTGCTTAGAGGAAGACAGCAACGATCCACTAGAACACGGGCAGATCTGAGAGTTTGCTGCAACCAAATTGTGGATTTAATGAAAATGAGGAGACAAGAGACACTATCCATTGTAAATCTAAGAGCCATATATGGACAAAAGACAATATCACAATATAAACACCAGGATCACAGAGAGCCAGGGATTTTTAATAGGAGCCGATTGGGCTTCATTAAGGTTTGCATTGTCCATCTGTATACAGTCTATGGGAAGTAGGTCTAAAAATGGTCAAATCTTGTTCCTAGCTTCGATCTTCCAATTGAAAGTGAACTAATCCATAAATGCAGGAAGCTGGTGTCATAACTGTTACATGTGAGTGTTTGAGGACACGCTGAATGATCAGAGCTGCATGCTCCGAAGCCGTGACCTTTAGTGAACTCAAGTGGAAGAGCTGAGAATGATTAACTAAAACTGAGAGGAGCCTCAACATGAAGCCCTTTGTGCTCAGAGTGAAGATACATGGAGTCACACAGATGACCAGAAATATTCACTGGTTTTTGATCTACTGAGCTTCTGTCTGTGTTTCTGTCTGTGTTTCTGTCTGTGTTTCTGTCTGTGTCCTGTCTGTGTCCTGTCTGTGTTTCTGTCTGTGTTTCTGTCTGTGCTCCTGTCTGTGTTTCTATCTGTGCTCCTGTCTGTGTTTCTGTCTGTGCTCCTGTCTGTGTTTCTGTCTGTGCTCCTGTCTGTGTTTCTGTCTGTGTTTCTGTCTGTGCTCCTGTCTGTGTTTCTGTCTGTGTTTCTGTCTGTGCTCCTGTCTGTTCTACTGTCTGTGTTTCTGTCTGTGTCCTGTCTGTGTTTCTGTCTGTGTTTCTGTCTGTGCTCCTGTCTGTGTTTCTGTCTGTGCTCCTGTCTGTGTTTCTGTCTGTGCTCCTGTCTGTTCTTCTGTCTGTTAAACCATAAGATACAGGAGAAATCACTCAGATTTGTGCAACATGTTAAAGGCATAAAATACAGTCTGTTCAGGATACAATTATGTACAATAAAAAATGGCAATTAAAGAAAGAGTGGCAATAGCAGGGCAGGTTTTTCAGTCCTTGTGCATTTGTGACTTAAAGTGACTTATTGTACAGTCTGACAGCAGTGGGGATAAAGTTAAAGTTATTATATCAGCGACAGACTGATCCACCCCTTGCTGTGTGAAGGAGGGGTCTGTCGGCCATCATTTTTGTGAGGGGGAAAAAAGTCTATACTGTATTGCTCCCGGGGTCTTATCATAATATACATAATATAAACACAGAACATTGTCAGAGGAGAGACCTGTCTCACAACTTACACCCTGCTCTCCCTGCTCTCCCTGCTCTCCCCTTCTCCCTGCTCTCCCCTTCTCCCTGCTCTCCCCTTCTCCCTGCTCTCCCTGCTCTCCCTGCTCTCCTCTTCGCCCTGCTCTCCATCTGTCGTGACCGTTTCTCTGTGGTTATTCCAGGACGACGCTCGGCAGCTGTTTGCATTGTCCTCTGCGGCGGAGGAGCAGGGATCGATGCCGGAGGAACTGGCCAACGTCATCAAGCGGCTGTGGGCTGACAGCGGCGTGCAGAGCTGCTTCACCCGAGCGCGAGAGTACCAGGTCAACGACTCAGCGCCATAGTGAGTCCCACACGTCACACACCGAGGCAAGAGGGCCTCGTATAAGCCCTGTTTCCACCAACTCTACTCTGCTCTGCTCTGCTCTACTCTATGGTGCTTACAGACCGCAAACGCTCAAACACTGAAGCCTCGCTCACCAGACACGCATTCTCTAGTTTTCAGACGCTGGGGTCTTCACACCAGAACGTGATCTTCTCTAATAATGCAGCTCTGCAGGGTGTCTGTGTCTGAGACCTTCCACGAGCTTTATATAACAGTAGTATGTGTTCACGGAGGTGCGCCATAAGTTTATTTTATTATTAAACGTACTTCCGCATCGACGAACACACTCGAAGCAGTTGCATAAAGTCACGGGAGCATGACAACGCATTTATTCACAAGCACACAGTCCCCCAGTGTCAACCCTGGTTTTAAGTTGTGGTGTAGCTCCTGTTTTGGCTGTTTACAGTATGTTCAGTCTGCTCGCTCAGACCACTAATGTCCCCGTGACCACTTTGGAGCTCTCTGATTGGTCGCTGCACGAGCGTCCCGAGGAAAGGTTGAGCAAAGTTTATCTCCTGTGGACGTCCATTTTCCGCTCTTGCTCCTCCCCTTTGACTTTCCCGCGCAGTCCGTGCGTCTCTACTGGGTGGTCCATTCGTGCGTCCCGCGATGTTCGTGTGTTGTAACGCTTGACACGCGTCACCGTAGACTTTGCATTGAAAGCCGACGCAACGAATGATCCGTCTGAAAGCACCACTACTCTACTCTACTCTACTCTACTCTACTCTACTCTTCTGTACTCTACTCTACTCTACTCTACTCTTCTGTACTCTACTCTACTCTACTCTACTCTACTCTTCTGTACTCTACTCTACTCTTCTGTACTCTACTCTACTCTACTCTACTCTTCTGTACTCTACTCTACTCTACTCTACTCTTCTGTACTCTACTCTACTCTACTCTTCTGTACTCTACTCTACTCTACTCTTCTGTACTCTACTCTACTCTACTCTTCTGTACTCTACTCTACTCTACTCTACTCTACTCTACTCTGCTCTGCTCTGCTCTACTCTACTCTATCTGGTTTCGTTTCCATTACGCTTTAGAATCTGGCTCCATATTCTAGCGAGCTACCCACAACAAACCAGTGTCTGTGGAAATTCCTTGGTAACCATGGCTTTACAGTCCTTTTTATTTGGAATTTTTTTCAAATATAACACTTAAAAGTTTAATATCTCTCTGCTGTTATTTGTTTGTCATATGGCTCATTGGAAGTTGAGTTAAAACAGTATATTGACTTCTGAATTTATTTTCTAACTTCCTGAGTTTTCCTGTATTTGAACACAGAGGCATGAGGACATTGACTTCTGTTGAGAACTCAAAAACAATTTAGTTTTTTGAGCGCCACGTTTTGACTCCACTGGTTTCTGTTATAGCAAGAGTTGGGATACAGTATAGAGCGGGTCTTAAATCCAAATGATGAAATTAATCAATAAATACAGACACAAGATACAAAGGGATTAAACTGGTTATTCAAGTATATAATATGAATGCCATAAGACCCTGCTCCCACTGATGGTAGCATAGGGAGTAACTAGGAGCTCCGACTGCAGACACTGCTCCCTCTGGTGGCAGCATAGGGAGTTACAGGAGGAAAGCTTTTTCACCCGTCATACAAGTTGTTTCACCATAGACCGTACTTTCATGCCGCCCTCGTCAGCACTCTCACTTGGTTCAAATCCCGCTCTGCACATGGGCCTTTCTGGAGTTTGCATGTTTTCCCTGTGTCTGCTAAGGTTTCCTGCGGGTGCTCCAGTTTCCTCTACCACTAAAAACATGTAGAATAGTCCACATCTCTCTGGTCTCTCTCTAGTCTCTTGCTGGTCTCTCTAGTCTCTCTCTCTGGTCTCTCCTCTCTGGTCTTCTCTGAGAAATTCTGAAGTGGAACTGGTTAATAAATCATATTTAAGAGTTACCGGTAATAACAATACATAAGATTTCTTTTTTCCACTTTCTAATCAACTTTATTAAACAGCTGTTATAAAAAAAAACATTTCCAAAGTGCAGCACAGAGACAAAAGTAGTAGATTTAAAAAACATACTTCTGCCATGTCTATGTGTATATCAAAATATGTACCAAATAAAAACCACTCATCTCTTTTAAGGCTGTTTGGGAAAAAACTGAGTCAGTATTTTTCCAGGTCTCTGAAGCGGATGTTAAAAAGCTGCAGTGGAGTTGTGTTGAGGCCACAGGGACGACCTGTAACTGAACCCAGGGAAAACAAAGTGTGTATTGTGAATGCTCTGCTCCGATCTGTGTTTAATACATGAAACTGACACCGGCTGACGCAGAGTCTCAGTGTGAGAGAGGACCGAGGCTCGGACTCCGGGCTACGCTCAGACTCCACCGCACGAGCCGCAAGAGGAAAGTCTTTGTAACGTTACGGAGAGGGGAGTTTCCACGGAGAGAACATATTATTATCGAGAAAGCAAAAGATGAGATAACAGAACCTTTTTTTGTCCCATAGTTTGGAAATGGTGGTTTTTGAGCAGACAACATATAAACAGATACAAATATAGTATACATCAATATCCATATAATTACTCTTGCAACAACATATCATCAGTAGGGTAAAACTAACCTGCCTCACGACGGTCCCTATTAGTGGGTGAACAATCCAACGCTTTGTGAATTCTGCTTCACAATGATTGGAAGAGCCGACATCGAAGGATCAAAAAGCGACGTCGCTATGAACGCTTGGGCGCCACAAGCCAGTTATCCCTGTGGTAACTTTTCCGACACGGTTCTGGCCACCCTGGGAAAGCCATGTTCCAGCTTCTTCCCTCTGGCAGAAGATATCGCTCTCTGAGATGCAGGACATCTCGTTACGCTAACAGTTTTTTTCCACAGGCTGTTATCAGTGTGAACAGAGCACTTTAATGATTTGCACTTGTTTTGAAACTGTTTTAGTCGATCGATTTTACAGTGACATTTGTTTACTGTTTTATGTGTTTGATTTCTGTCTTTTAATGTTGTTTTATGTCTGTATTTGTCTGTGCACACTGGAGACTTTTGCTAATGTATACCAATGTGGTGTTTTTACTGCAAATGGCAAATACACTGAATCTGAATCTCCTGCTTAAAACTCAGAAAGTCAAAATGGTTTCCTCGACCATTTGGCAAATCATTGTTTGAGTCTAATATATATGTCTACTTTAAGCTTTGAACTGAAATCTAATCTATTTGGGGAATCTCACTTGGTTATAGGCCCTTTTACAATCAAATAGACCTATAATTTCTTTTTTTTGAATTGTGGTTTAAAAGATTATGTATATATATTTAGTGTTATTGTTGTCCTACATCGTAGAAAATCCAAACAAGACAAAAATTATTGGTTTCTTCAAGGAGTAAATGTTAAAGGGTTAAAGATAAAGTTGATCAAAGGCAAGGTAAGTTTATTTGTATAGCTCAGTTCATCAGGTCATACATGAGGCAACACCAAGTGCTCAACAAAACAAGATAGAAGCATTAAATACAAAAATAATCAAAGAAAAGAGCTAAAAGTCACTTCAAAAGAGCTGTTGCAGTAACTTTTTTTAACCTAGATTTGAACATTGTGAGAGTAGAAGCCTGTCTCACATTTTCAAGAAGACTGTTCCGGGTTTTAGCTCAATAAATCTGAAATGAAGCCTCCCCATGTTTAGTCCTGACTCGGGGGCACCAGTCCCTGTGCTCCTCAGAGTACCAGCAGGAGACCAGTCCCTGTGCTCCTCAGAGTCCCAGCAGGAGACCAGTCCTTGTGCTCCTCAGAGTACCAGCAGGAGACCAGTCCCTGTGCTCCTCAGAGTCCCAGCAGGAGACCAGTCCTTGTGCTCCTCAGAGTACCAGCAGGAGACCAGTCCCTGTGCTCCTCAGAGTACCAGCAGTAGACCAGTCCCTGTGCTCCTCAGAGTACCAGCAGGAGGCCAGTCCCTGTGCTCCTCAGAGTACCAGCAGGAGGCCAGTCCCTGTGCTCCTCAGAGTACCAGCAGGAGGCCAGTCCCTGTGCTCCTCAGAGTACCAGCAGGAGGCCAGTCCCTGTGCTCCTCAGAGTACCAGCAGGAGGCCAGTCCCTGTGCTCCTCAGAGTACCAGCAGGAGGCCAGTCCCTGTGCTCCTCAGAGTACCAGCAGGAGGCCAGTCCCTGTGCTCCTCAGAGTACCATTTAAAGCTGGTCCTCTAAGGTTATTACTGAGCGTAATACAATTGAAATGCCTTTTTTAAGCCCTATCTCTGCTCTGGTTTCACTGCAGAGATAAGAAAACATTTACCCATTACCGGAGTATAATAATTACCGTAATTGAATTGTGTTGTATAATTGTCGTTCAAAACACAGCGGTTCGAAAGCTCCCAGATGACGACTGAGCTTTAACTCTTTCAACTTGTAACGATGCGTCAGAAACGACTTTTACTGCGGAACAAATGATTAAAAACAGCAACGAGAAGACTGATCAGGAGAATTGCCGGTTGTGTATCGGAAACAGGTGATTGTTCTGTCTGAATACTTTATACTGTAATATTCCTGAGCCTTTAAAAGCAAAATGTGGTTTTTGACCTCGTTGTATTTGTCTTTTTTTTTATCTGACATCCCATTCACTTATGTCGGCTAATACTCTGGACAGTGGTCCCTTTGTGTTTTTTTTTTATTATTGCTTTTCCTGAGTTTGATCTGTTTGATTCTCTGATCTGTTGTTAGCAAATCCACAACAAATTTCAGACGATTGCTGTTGAGAGTTGAATCAGAGCTTGTTTGTGATCTGTATTCTAACACACACTAGCATGATCTTTAATGGTTAATCAAATAGATAAATTACTTATATAATGTTGGTGGTCTGTGTGTAATGAAGAGTGTGTGCCCGCAGTTACCTGAACGACCTGGAGAGGATTTCCAGAGGGGACTACATCCCGACGCAGCAGGACGTTCTGAGGACCCGTGTGAAGACCACAGGGATCGTGGAGACTCACTTCACCTTCAAGGACCTGCACTTCAAGTAAGACCAGCACCGGTCCACAGCATGAGACCATACGAGCCTTATCCATGCAGTCTTTCCTGTGTGAGCATGTGTGTGTGTGTGTGTGTGTCTCTGTCTGTCTGTCTGTGTGTCTGTCGGTCCGTGTGTGTGTGTGTGTGTGTGTCTGTGTCCCTGTCTGTGTGTCTGTCTGTTTGTCTGTGTGTGTGTGTGGGTTTGTGTGTGTGTGAGAGAGTGTGTGTGTCTCTGTCTGTCTGTCTGTGTGTCTGTCGGTCTGTGTGTGTGTGTGTGTGTGAGAGTGTGTGTGTCTGTGTCCCTGTCTGTGTGTGTGTCTGTTTGTGTGTGTGTGTGTGTCTGTCTGTCTTTATGTTTGAGTGTGTGTGTGTGTGTGTCTGTCGGTCCGTGTGTGTGTGAGAGTGTGTGTCTGTCTGTTTGTCTGTGTGTGAAAGTGTGTGTCTGTCTGTTTGTCTGTGTGTGAGTGCGTGTGTGTCTGTGTCTCTGTCTGTTTGTGTGTGTGTCTGTTAGGGCTGGGCGGTATAAACGGTATAAGCGGTAGACGGTATAAATTTGGCCCACGGTAGAGATTTTTGTTATACCGGCATATTGCGATACGTCATTATGTCATTAAATTGCGCAGGCTCTGACGCCAGCAGAGAGCACCAAAACAAACCGGCATTCAGCAGCATTAGCCTAGCACTATTAGCCTAGCACATTAGCCTAGCACTATTGGACACCACTGGAAACAACGAACAACAGCACGGCATTAACACCGTGTTTCTGTCTCTGTATTGTTGTCACAGCGGCCCCAGCAGAGGTAAATACACACACAGTAATCACAGTTTAAGAGTCTACCTTTTGGCCAATCGGTGTCAAAGGGGCGTAGGCTCGAAGCGCCAGCGTGAGCCAAAATAGATCCATGTGCCGTGTCCGCAGCAGCATCACATCAGAAGTTTGGGAAAGTTTGCGTCAGATTCGGACCTCCGCGGTCAATATCTCACGAAAGCTACGTTGTTAAACAAAATTATTTGTGCCAAAATGATCATTTACATCAATTGTTCAAATCCAATGCGCTGTTTTAATGAACATAAAATCCATTGAATCATCCAGCGCAGAGAAAAGCGCTTAGGGAGCGTCAACAAATGGCAAGACCAGCTTTGTAAACAAACAGCTTTTACTGAAGTCATGCACCTGCACAAAACTCTCAGACACTATAAATAATGACCATGTCTAACTCCTACAGACTTTGTTTTCATCATTTGTGAGTTTTTTATATTTTAAATGAATGCATATGTTTTTCTTTTTAAAAATTGCTTTTACAGTGAATGGTATTTACTGTAACATACATAAATAATGTATGTTATTTGTCTCTTTATTCGTCTCACAACTGATTTTCTAACTCAAAAAATATATATTAGATTCTAATATATAAATAATTAACAATCTTGACTATTTTATGCAAGAACCTGCTAGACCTATATTGAAATTCACACACCAAATTATACCGCGATATATACCGTCTACCGTCTATGACCCAAATTATACCGCGATATGAATTTTAGGCCATATCGCCCACCCCTAGTGTCTGTCTGTCTTTATGTTCGTGTGTGTGTCTGTCTTTATGTTTGTGTGTGAGTGCGTGTGTGTCTGTGTCTCTGTCTGTGTGTGTGTGTGTCTGTCTGTCTTTATGTGTGTGTGTGTGTCTGTCTTTATGTTTGTGTGTGAGTGCGTGTGTGTCTGTGTCTCTGTCTGTGTGTGTGTGTGTGTGTGTGTGTCTGTCTTTATGTTTGTTTGTGTGTGAGTGCGTGTGTGTCTGTGTCTCTGTCTGTGTCTCTGTCTGTGTGTGTGTGTGTCTGTCTGTCTTTATGTTTGTTTGTGTGTGTGTGTGTCTCTATGTACCATTCACATTACAAGAATACAAATTCCATTAGTTTCCGGCCCTTTGCAAACAGCCGCACACAGGCCCTGAACATCTCTGGAATTGGAGGGAGATCAATTAATAATACTGAAGATCCAATTACTAATATTATTAAAATAGGATTTTATTTCATGCATTTTACTGTAATCTAATTCAGTTCTGGTGTATTTGGTGTTTCATTCAATTTTGTGTATTTACAGCTCACTGTCTCATAAAAAAAAATAAAAAAATACGAATTTATTTTTATTCAGTTTTATTCAGTAAAAAAAAAACCAACACAAATAATAAACCAGGACAGTCTGACTTTAAGCCTTTCTCAACAGTTTTAAACCATCATTCTGTGTTTTAGCTTAAATCAACAATTATTGTGTAAGTGTAAAAATAATGCAAAATAAGTATGTGCAGAATTTGATCAAATTCAATGTATTCATTTTTTTAATTTATTGCAATCCTTGGCTTTCCTTAATTGGAGACTGATGTAGACTGGTCTCTATCCCTGATGTAGACTGGTCTCTATCCCTGATGTAGACTGATCTCTAACCCTGATGTAGACCGGTCTCTATCCCTGATGTAGACTGGTCTCTAACCCTGATGTAGACCGGTCTCTATCCCTGATGTAGACTGGTCTCTAACCCTGATGTAGACCGGTCTCTAACCCTGATGTAGACCGGTCTCTATCCCTGATGTAGACCGGTCTCTAACCCTGATGTAGACTGGTCTCTATCCCTGATGTAGACTGGTCTCTAACCCTGATGTAGACCGGTCTCTATCCCTGATGTAGACTGGTCTCTAACCCTGATGTAGACTGGTCTCTAACCCTGATGTAGACTGGTCTCTATCCCTGATGTAGACTGGTCTCTAACCTTGATGTAGACTGGTCTCTAACCCTGATGTAGACTGGTCTATAGCCCTGATGTAGGACTGGTCTTTATCCCTGATGTAGACTGGTCTCAGGGACGGTTTCAAACCTCAGCCCAGTCTGGTTCTTCCCCTCAGAACGCTCTGTGCCGAATCTGTCTGATAGAACTGGACACGTTTTGGACTGAGACTCGGGAGATGGTTTTACTGCAAAATATACAGATTTAAGACAAAGACAAACTGTGTGTGTGTGTGTGTACATATTTCTGTTTGTGCCAGTGTGTGATATTAGCCTGGATGGGTCTAAAAACAGATCCAGGTCAGTGAGTAAAAAGGGACGATGTTAAAACATGGAGAAAAGACCACTTATTATAGAACATGTGTTGGTAACTTGCTTTTATTCGTGCTGTGATTCCCATTGTCACCTGTAGGGGGCGACAACCCATTTCACATTTCATCATAAATAAACAAAAACTCAGAACAGAATTAGCATTTATTACATTTGTGTCAAAAACCGGAAAAAAAACACAATTTGTACATTTTTGGCTCAGTTTTTTCACTCCAATTCTTTAAAGATGACTTAAAAAATGTCTAAACTTAAATAAGGGAGACATAAGGCAGAAAAATGCTATAAATATTTGATCATTCTCTTGTTTTTTCCTGAATGTCCTGAATGAAAAACACAGGAACCAGACAATAAATTATGAACTTCTCAGAAAAATCCTATACATTTGTCCTCATGATAACGCAGTGTGGTCTTTCTAATGTCCCACTATGTGACATCACAAGTCTTTGAGTTTTTGGAAACAAAAGAAAAAAGAAAATCCATAAACAAACAGTTGATACCAGTCTGAAACAAATACAGTTCCCACGATTTACAAGTTCAGAATTCCAGTTTTGTCCAGAGCTTAAGGCAGAAGGCGTCACACCGTTCATGATGTTCGGGTTTTATGTCACACTTTTTAAAATAAAACTAAACTCAGACACAGTTTTAACACAAACATTCCACAGATGATAATTGTATCCATCAAAATATCTCTGAATATTCCTGACTCGGCTGAAAACATCAATGGGCTTCACAATGCAACTTTGGCCACAACAAAGGACACACTCTAGATCTTGAAAAGTCAGATCTGACCATCAAAGCTCTAAAGTCTGTTTAAATAGATCATAATGTGATTCTTTGCAGAGCTGTACAGCGCCCCCTATGGGTCATTGTTACATATTTACAACATCATTCATTTAAATATTGACCTAAAACAATGTAATAAATGAAATAAATCTTTCTTGAGAAACTTTTTATTGAGACTCGGGCCTGAGACTCGGGCCTGAGACTCGGGCCTGAGACTCGGGCCTGAGACTCGGGCCTGAGACTCGGGCCTGAGACTCGGGCCTGAGACTCGGGCCTGAGACTCGGGCCTGAGACTCGGCCCTGAGACTCGGCCCTGAGACTCGGCCCTGAGACTCGGCCCTGAGACTCGGCCCTGAGACTCGGCCCTGAGACTCGGCCCTGAGACTCGGGCCTGAGACTCGGGCCTGAGACTCGGGCCTGAGACTCGGGCCTGAGACTCGGGCCTGAGACTCGGGCCTGAGACTCGGCCCTGAGACTCGGCCCTGAGACTCGGCCCTGAGACTCGGCCCTGAGACTCGGCCCTGAGACTCGGCCCTGAGACTCGGCCCTGAGACTCGGCCCTGAGACTCGGCCCTGAGACTCGGCCCTGAGACTCGGCCCTGAGACTCGGCCCTGAGACTCGGCCCTGAGACTCGGCCCTGAGACTCGGCCCTGAGACTCGGCCCTGAGACTCGGCCCTGAGACTCGGCCCTGAGACTAGCAAGGGCCTGAGACTAGCAAGGGCCTGAGACTAGCAAGGGCCTGAGACTAGCAAGGGCCTGAGACTAGCAAGGGCCTGAGACTAGCAAGGGCCTGAGACTAGCAAGGGCCTGAGACTAGCAAGGGCCTGAGACTAGCAAGGGCCTGAGACTAGCAAGGGCCTGAGACTAGCAAGGGCCTGAGACTCGGGCCTGAGACTTGTGTCACACTTTTGTTTAGAAAATCAAGGTGTGTGTTTATGTGCCTCTGCCTATGTGTATCTATGGGTATTTGTGCGTGTCTCTATGTGCGTTACTTTTCATTTCAATGCAACAAATAGTTGCAATAGTTGCATTGTAGTAGTTGCATAGTTGAAAAATAACTAGTGTGACATCACCACAGTGTGACATCACCACAGTGTGACATCACCACAGTGTTGGTCTTAAAGCTAATGAAGCCACAGAACACAAGCTAGCTGGAGCCAACTTCCTCATATGGGCATTTGTTTTGACAGCGCTAGCTTAGCGTTGTAGCAGGGGCAGACAGGTTGCTAAGACGGTTGCTAAGGCAAGCTGGACTTCTGGCATTTTATTGGTCGATCCTTATATGGCTCTTGTCTGGATTTACAAAGACAATGTCACATATCAACACCAGGATCACCAAGAGGAGATTTGAGCCCAAAATGGTTGCTTAGCCAGGGAGAGTTGGAGGCAAACTTCATGATGAGCACTTCCCTATAAGGCTGCATTGAGCTAGCGGGTTAGCATTGTCCGTTGTGCACAGGTTGTGATGGAAATACATTTGTTGTAGTGTTTTTGAAGCGGCTTAAGCTCACATTTATACAGACGTAAACAGATTTCATCTTTTGTTCAAGTCGCTCAGTTTCTTCAGCAGCAGAAAAAAATTAATAATCATCATATTCCTCTGATCCATAACCTGAAACACACAAAACACACACACATTATGTTTAGACGTTAAAAAAACATAATTACATTCAATTTATTTGTGTCTCGCCCCAAATCACAACAGCAGTCGTCTCAGACTTTACAAAGATGTTGAATCACCAACAACAGATCTGAGGCTGTAGACCCAGGACTGAGGCTGTAGACCCAGGACTGAGGCTGTAGACCCAGGACTGAGGCTGTAGACCCAGGACTGAGGCTACAGACCCAGGACTGAGGCTACAGACCCAGGACTGAGGCTACAGACCCAGGACTGAGGCTGTAGATTCAGGACTGAGGCTGTAGACCCAGGACTGAGGCTGTAGACCCAGGACTGAGGCTGTAGACCCAGGACTGAGGCTGTAGACCCAGGACTGAGGCTGTAGACCCAGGACTGAGGCTGTAGACCCAGGACTGAGGCTGTAGACCCAGGACTGAGGCTGTAGACCCAGGACTGAGGCTACAGACCCAGGACTGAGGCTGTAGATTCAGGACTGAGGCTAGGCTATAGATCCAGGACTGAGGCTGTAGATCCAGGACTGAGATCCAGCTGTAGATCCAGGACTGAGGCTGTAGATCCAGGACTGAGGCTGTAGATCCAGAACAGAGGCTGTAGATCCAGGACTCAGGCTGTAGATCCAGGACTGAGGCTGTAGATCCATAACTGAGGCTGTAGATCCAGGACTGAGGCTGTAGATCCAGAACTGAGGCTGTAGATCCAGGACTGAGGCTGTAGATCCAGAACTGAGGCTGTAGATCCAGAACTGAGGCTGTAGATCCAGAACTGAGGCTGTAGATCCAGGACTGAGGCTGTAGACCCAGGACTGAGGCTGTAGATCCAGGACTGAGGCTGTAGATCCAGGACTCAGGCTGTAGATCCAGGACTGAGGCTGTAGATCCAGGACGGAGGCTGTAGATCCAGAGCTGAGGCTGTAGATCCAGAACTGAGGCTGTAGATCCAGAGCTGAGGCTGTAGATGCAAGAACTGAGGCTGTAGATCCAGGACTGAGGCTGTAGATCCAGGACTGAGGCTGTAGATCCAGGACTGAGGCTGTAGATCCAGAACAGAGGCTGTAGATCCATAACTGAGGCTGTAGATCCAGGACTGAGGCTGTAGATCCAGAACTGAGGCTGTAGATCCAGAGCTGAGGCTGTAGATCCAGAACTGAGGCTGTAGATCCAGGACTGAGGCTGTAGATCCAGGACTGAGGCTATAGATCCAGGACTGAGGCTGTAGATCCAGGACTGAGGCTGTAGATCCAGGACTGAGGCTGTAGATCCAGGACTGAGGCTGTAGATCCAGGACTGAGGCTGTAGATCCAGAACAGAGGCTGTAGATCCAGGACTCAGGCTGTAGATCCAGGACTGAGGCTGTAGATCCATAACTGAGGCTGTAGATCCAGGACTGAGGCTGTAGATCCAGAACTGAGGCTGTAGATCCAGGACTGAGGCTGTAGATCCAGAACTGAGGCTGTAGATCCAGAACTGAGGCTGTAGATCCAGAACTGAGGCTGTAGATCCAGGACTGAGGCTGTAGACCCAGGACTGAGGCTGTAGATCCAGGACTGAGGCTGTAGATCCAGGACTCAGGCTGTAGATCCAGGACTGAGGCTGTAGATCCAGGACGGAGGCTGTAGATCCAGAGCTGAGGCTGTAGATCCAGAACTGAGGCTGTAGATCCAGAGCTGAGGCTGTAGATCAAGAACTGAGGCTGTAGATCCAGAACTGAGGCTGTAGATCCAGGACTCAGGCTGTAGATCCAGGACTGAGGCTGTAGATCCAGAGCTGAGGCTGTAGATCCAGATCTGAGGCTGCAGATCCAGTACTGAGGCTGTAGATCCAGGACTGAGGCTGTAGATCAAGAACTGAAGCTGTAGATCCAGGACTGAGGCTGTAGATCCAGGACTCAGGCTGTAGATCCAGGACTGAGGCTGTAGATCCAGGACTGAGGCTGTAGATCCAGGACTGAGGCTGTAGATCCAGGACTGAGGCTGTAGATCCAGGACTGAGGCTGTAGATCCAGAACAGAGGCTGTAGATCCAGGACTCAGGCTGTAGATCCAGGACTGAGGCTGTAGATCCATAACTGAGGCTGTAGATCCAGGACTGAGGCTGTAGATCCAGAACTGAGGCTGTAGATCCAGGACTGAGGCTGTAGATCCAGAGCTGAGGCTGTAGATCCAGAACTGAGGCTGTAGATCCAGAACTGAGGCTGTAGATCCAGGACTGAGGCTGTAGACCCAGGACTGAGGCTGTAGATCCAGGACTGAGGCTGTAGATCCAGGACTCAGGCTGTAGATCCAGGACTGAGGCTGTAGATCCAGGACTGAGGCTGTAGATCCAGGACTCAGGCTGTAGATCCAGGACTGAGGCTGTAGATCCAGGACGGAGGCTGTAGATCCAGAGCTGAGGCTGTAGATCCAGAACTGAGGCTGTAGATCCAGAGCTGAGGCTGTAGATCAAGAACTGAGGCTGTGGATCCAGGACTGAGGCTGTAGATCCAGGACTCAGGCTGTAGATCCAGGACTGAGGCTCTAGATCCAGAGCTGAGGCTGTAGATCCAGATCTGAGGCTGCAGATCCAGTACTGAGGCTGTAGATCCAGGACTGAGGCTGTAGATCAAGAACTGAAGCTGTAGATCCAGGACTGAGGCTGTAGATCCAGGACTCAGGCTGTAGATCCAGGACTGAGGCTGTAGATCCAGAGCTGAGGCTGTAGATCCAGAACTGAGGCTGTAGATCCAGGACTGAGGCTGTAGATCCAGGACTGAGGCTGTAGATCCAGGACTGAGGCTGTAGATCCAGGACTGAGGCTGTAGATCCAGGACTGAGGCTGTAGATCCAGGACTGAGGCTGTAGATCCAGGACTGAGGCTGTAGATCCAGGACTGAGGCTGTAGGTCCAGAGCTGAGGCTGTAGATCCAGAGCTGAGGCTGTAGATCCAGGACTGAGGCTGTAGATCCAGGACTGAGGCTGTAGATCCAGAGCTGAGGCTGTAGATCCAGGACTCAGACTGTAGGGGGAAGGGGAGCGCAGGTAGAAAATGGTAGCTACATTTACAATAACCAGTTTATAAATACTATAATATGTATTAACCATAACCCATTCATTACACACATTGAAGTGCCACTCCTATTATTCCAACGGCTCAATAGATTTACTGTTAAAGCCTGTTTATATCTTAGTTCATTCCTTAAAAAAGGCCCCATACAATACAATATCAAAGCCTATAATTCCTCTTTTGCCTCTAATCCATTTTTCTTCCTCACATGAAAGATTGCGGTACTAAAGCCTCGCTGGAGTCCATTCAAATGGGGCAGAAAGCAGCTCTCAGCAGCACAACAGAATCCCCCCCAGCCTTTCTGTCATTGTCGCCCGTTATTTACTGCACAAGTCATTTATCAAGGGGAAAGAAAGAGCAGCTATTGAAATCTTGGTGTTCTCCTTATATGGGTTAACATGTATGAAAGTGGAGTGCTCTAGTGACCAGCTGGAACCATGTGCATCATACCAGGATAAGAATCTGGTGCAACATATAGACTGTATATAGAAGGGCAACGGGGAAGGGCTCAAGGATTAAGTTTTGCTCCAACTCGCTCTGGCTCCTCTTGACTTACATGTAAAATAAAGCTTCTCTAGCTCAGTACGCGTTTGTGTCACACTCACTGTTTTTGGTTTAGAAATCTGTGGTTTAGTTCTCTCTGTGATCCTGGTGCTTATATTGTGACATTGTCTTTGTAAATCCAGATATGAGCCTGAACGACTGACCAATCAGGAGCTTTCTGTTGGCTTCAGCTGTGAGTAGCGCGACTGGGGACTGATTGAGGCTGCTCCTGATTGGCTCTTGGTGACCAGGTTGTCGCTAACAACATTTGCATACATTTGGCTCCACAATTCTGCGGAAATAGCCTGTTCTTCCGCGTTAATAATAACACTTGGTAGTTCACAGTTAGAAGGTCCTGAGTTCGATTCCACCTCCAGGCCTTTCTGTGTGAAGTTAGCATTTTCTCCCTGTGTGACTGCCTAGGTTTCCTCCAGGTGCACCGGTTTTCTTCACCACTAAAAAAACATCTGGATCTGAATGTAGCGAGTCAACAGATAAGGGTGGTGGTCGGCGTCTCGCTTCTATCATCATTGTGCGGAGAGAATGGAAAAATATCTGCTCTTTGTAAACTTTGTAAAGCGCCTTGTTGTGTCCCTATAGCTTGTGAAATGCGCTATATCAATAAATTTGACTTTCTTACTATGGGCAACATCAGCGCTCACAACCTCATAACCCTTCAGCTTTTGAGTCACTGCATCTACTTTAAGCATGCTTGGAACATTCATCTCACTTTACTGCATCTCAACCATTTGGTAAAGGTAAAATAATTGTGGGTTAAAAAATATATATATATATAAAATGTATTACTGCTAAGCGCAATGATAAATAAAACATCCAAAATAGAAAAAAATGACATTGCTTTCTTCAAGGGGTGAACATTGAAGGGTTAATATACAGTCTGTGGTAAAACTACTGTCACGATCCTCTAGCTCTTTCCTCATTGTAACTATCAGCAACACGCTCAAGATGCGTTTGTTCTGGAAGACAGAAGAACTAAGAGCTCACTACTCCTCCCAAAAAGTCAATCACACTCAGCCACAGCGCCAGTCCTCATCCGGTAGAAATTAAGCCCTGCATCAAGCTTTCTTATTGTACATTCATGCAGCAACCCTCCTCCTCCCCATAAGCAGCTCGTCGGCCGGACCAGCTTCTTCACCATTCTCCTCGCTCCCACCGCCAGGATCTAGGCCCCGGGGGATTTCATCTTATAATCTATTTTTCCATTTGCCCTTCTGGGGTCTAAGCACCAAATCTTTACCACATTTCTCGTACAGTATTCAATAAATGTAATATTGCAAACTCCAGAGTTGTACGTGCTAATTTATGTAGTGTCAGTCTCATTTCTTACCAATATACAGTTCGAGTCTGTCCAGATTGAAACATGAACACTGTGGTCATCGTGCACTCCCATTCTTTATTCTTTTGGTATCGGCTCAGCCTTAATATAGACAACGTTACCAAATCATCAAGACGAGCCGTATTAAAGGCTTCGTGCCAGAGCTTTTTTAAGACCAATTACATGCCCTGCCTTTCATTACAGCAGCTCAGTCACCGGGGGACAGGTCTCAGCACGAAGAGGGAAAAACACAACAGAAGAGAAACCAGGTCAAAGCCGCGGAGAGCAATTTGAATAGAACTGAAATGAACGTGTCATGAACAAGAAATCATAGAAGTGTGATTTTGGACCAAAGGCAACACGTGACCATGTTATTTGCATATTTGTATTTGCATGTATAACTATAACATTTGCATGAACAGTTTTAGTAAGGTTGCACTTAATCAGAATCAGAATCATTTTTATTGCCACGTAAGAAACAAACAAAAGTTACCGTAGTACCATGCCAAGTTAATGTAAACAATGGGGGGAAAAATAAACAACATTTCTGGAAACAATTTAGTTATTATTATTATTTATTTCAGATTGGATTTTTGCTTATTCTCATTGAGGAGGATATTCTTGTAAATCCTCTCTGAGCTTCAGCAGAGGTGACAAAAGTGCTGGAATTAAGAAAAAGTAAATTATTAAAATGTATGTGTCATAATTATATTGCATTGGTTTTATATTGTGCTTATAGACGCTCAAAGACGCTTCACAGCTTCATTCAATCACTCCAAACACGGTGGTGAGAAACTACTATTGTTGCCACAGCTGCCCTGGGGCATGCTGACAGAAGCGAGGCAACCAGTCTGTGCCATCGGCCCCTCCCATCACCACCAACCTTTCACACACACAACAGACTCGTTCTGATGTGGGTGAAGTGCCGTGCTTAAGGACACAACCACACTTTAGCACTTTCCAGCCGCTCAATCCTAAAAACCAGACCAAGACCTGACCCTGAAAAAAGACAGACCAAGACCAGGACCAAACCCAGACTAGTCCAGACTCAAACCAAGACCAGACTCAGAAACAATGTACCAGATCAAAAGAAATACCATCACATACTTGACCAAGACCAGACTCGGACCAAGACCACACAAGTTTTTGTGTTATTTGTATGTTTTAATAATCATGTTTTAAATGTTTTAGCTATTTAATTGCAACAATTTAAATGTTTATGTTTTTCCATATTTGCAATATTTTATTTTTTTGTAGTTCCTCCCATTTCAATGGTTTTTATGTTTATCACAATTTCTGAATGATTCATTTTGTCCATTTATTTTCCCAGAATAGTGTGTAGTTCCAGGGGCACTCTTTCTGCAGCTGTCGCACATTGTGTTTGTTTATGGTATGCACTCACTGTTGTACTCTTATAAGTAACATCTTCAAGTCACATTCTCTACATTGGACTCAGGGGAGAGTACATCTGGACTCTCACCTGCTAAGAAGATTGTAAAAGCCACTAAATCAAGTTTTTAGCTTCAGATTAATTAAAGATGAATTCAACAATGCTAATATCGTTTTCATGATTCTCTCTCCAATCAGTCACTGCATCACCTGCTGGTCCCAGGCCACAGCGTCAACATCAAACCAGTAAGAACGCTCGTCAACAGAGTCATACAAATATTGGACAAAAAAAACAATAAGAACGTTGGTTGCAGAGACTTCATTTTCTTAGTTTTGATAATTTTGTTAAACTCTGTAATTGTAAACTGTTGTACAGTCGAGCCTCAGCTGACCTGAGGGCTCTCATGGTTCCTCTGAGGTCCATCACACGAGGCTCCTCAAAAGAGAAGGTGGCTCTCAGGAGAACCACATTTTGACACAGTCGGTCTTCTCTGTTCATGGGGCAATGCTCTGGAACTCTTTAAGACCTCAGTTTAAACTGAAGTCTGACTGGACTGGTTTTAAACACGAACTGAAGCCATTTTTTAAAACAAACCAGTTGTGTGATCATTGATTAATTGGAGGGAACCTGTAAAATGTGTGTTTTAATTGTGTTAAAAGCCCTTCTAGGGACGGACATTTCACATGTTGATTGTGTACACTTGTTCCTATCAAATAAATCAATACATAAATCAATGAATAAATTAGTTCCACTCTCTGCGACCGGAGGGAGAGTGTGCTCTGAGAGGCGCCTCAGCTCCGTTTTTGTCCAGGACTTTACACCTGAAGTCATCAGGACTTAACGCTTGTTTTTGTTTCTGCGCTGGCAACAAACGACACGGCTTAAACTAATCCACATTCATGAGTTCCTCTTTGACATTTACAGTGACATTTACTCAAACCCAAGTCTTTTACTCTGAATTACATGAGCCAAATCCCGGCCTGTGGGCCAGAGGTGGTCCATTGGACGCTTCTATCAGGCCCCTGACTCCTCCTCTAATGTTGATACAATATGAAAAGTAGAAAATCCCTCTGCGCTTCTTGCTCTGCTGTGATACATGATATCAGAAAATATGTTTTGGTGTAAAGATAGGCCTGAGAGAAATAGAGGGGAAGTTCGTCCATGCCTAGGTTCACCCATCATGTACTATGTTAGGTAAAATTCCTGCACTGTACAGCCTCAAGTCCTGGATCTACAGCCTCAAGTCCTGGATCTACAGCCTCAGTCCTGGATCTACAGCCTCAGTCCTGGATCTACAGCCTCAGTCCTGGATCTACAGCCTCAGTCCTGGATGTACAGCTTGAGTCCTGGATCAACAACCTCAGTCCTGGATCTACAGCCTGTCCGTCAGTGGGAGCGGATCGCTCACTCAATATGGCTCCCCCAGGTTTCAACCCCCCTCCCCTAACTGTTTCTTTCTTTGAATTCTCTGATTTGTCCTCCGAGACGACTGCTGTAGTGATTTAGGGCTGTACATAAATACATTGAATTGAATGGTGGATCTCTACCGCCCTCTTGAGGATATTCCTGGTAGTGTATTGTTTTCCTGAGAAAAAAATTATATTAATTTAGAACTGATGTTTGGTGATTTATTCCTCTAAACACAGCAATTTCATGTCTGAGGGCTCCTTTTATGACAGACGGTGAAGATTTGTAAAGAATGAAAAATGGAATTGTTGATCAATCAGACCCAGTATTGAACAGGGATTGGTCATAACTTTGACCTAAATTCTAATAGCCAAATACAATCGGTAACATTAACAGCTTTTCACCATATGAAAAACAAAGTTAAAAAAAATATAGGTCCAAAGCAGACCTAGAGATTCTTATCCATGCTTTTGTCTCCAGTTGGTTAGACTAATGGTCTGCTCACTCCAAACATGCTGCATGTAGTGCATTCAAAATGCTGCAACTCCTGTCTCAACTAGATCCAGGAAG